TTTTTTTTTGAGCAAACGGGCACATCTTATAAATAAAAATCAATTCAATAAATATCAATAAAATACATAGAGATCGTAATTGGTAATATAAATGGGAAACCATATCACCAAATAATATTCTTATTACATTTTATTGTGATTTCTAAGTTTTTATAGTGAATGGTAAATTTTGTTATTTGACACGACGTGTATACACGTCAAACGTACCGCAGTAGAGATTGGGTCTGACGTGTATACAAGTCGACCACACACTTAACTGATTAAATTACGTTAAAAATTACATCATTCTTTTAAGTGTACACGAATATAAGTTTGATTTATCTATCTATCTATCTATCTATCTGTTTATTTATGATCTTACTTTTATCTTCGTCGTATGGATTTTAAAATTAGGACAAGAATCTACGACTATGTCTATTTTTTTTTTTTTTTTTTTTTTTTTTTTTTTAACAAGAGAATAACTTCGTTTTATTCCGTGGTTTGGGTTCGAACTCTCTCTCTCTCTCTCCCAAGTGACTTCGTTTCCTAAAACACGATAGAAGAAGACAAATTTCCGTGACACTTTCTCATTCACGTTTTCTTCAGAATATAAATCATCAAAATGTTTGAAGAATAAGAATAAGAAAAAGAAGAAGAAAAAAAAACAAGAAGAATAAGAAGAAGAAAAAGAAATCTTTCATCGTAAGATTTTCTAACTATTTTCAAAGAATATTTCAAACGACCGAGTTTACATACTCGTATACACGATCATTTCCATTTATATACAATATGTATATTTATGTAAATATTTATATATATGTGTGTGTGTGTGTGCATAGGAAATTCATCCTTATAATCGCTTTAAAGTGTCTACTTTATTCCTCTTGATTTTAATCGACATTGACGATTAGAGAAGAGTGCTTTTAAATTCACTGAAAGTATATATATATATATTGGTAGTTATTATCGGCCCATTAATGGCAGTTATTATCGGCCCATTAGTGGCATTTATTATCGGCCCATTAATGGCATTTATTATCGGCCCATTACCGGCATTTAGTATCGGCCCATTACCGGCATTTAGTATCGGCCCGTTACCGGCATTTAGTATCGGCCCATTACCGGCATTTAGTATCGGCCCATTACCGGCATTTAGTATCGGCCCATTACCGGCATTTAGTATCGGCCCATTACCGGCATTTATTATCGGCCCATTACCGGCATTTATTATCGGCCGATTAATGGGCCCAGCAATGGGCCACGTATTATTCAAATTATTAGCCCATTATATATTATATATATACACACAATATAATATAATTATAATATAAATATAAATAAAATAATATATAATATATAATATACATAATAATATAATTAAATTTACACAATACCAATACACGTAATATTAATTTTCATATTTTTTTTTTTGTTTTTTAATCAAATTTGATCATAATTTCTATTCTTTTATTTTGTTCTTGTTTTAAAACGCGTAATCAAATAATCTTCGTCGTATTTAACGGTGCGAAACTCTCACGAAGTAAACTCGTAAGAAGTCCAGTACGATATTACGAGTGGGTAAGGTGGTAGTACGTTACGTGATAAGGGATTCCCCGATTAAAATATTTTATAAGCGCTAAGGGAGTTATTTCGCGCTGCTGCTGCTGCTGCTGCTGCTCGAAACTCGCGTCAGGTATGAGTTGCGAAGTGGAAATTGGCCTCTCTTGTACTTTTATTATTATTTGCTTTTTTTTTTTTCTTTCTTTCTTTCTTTCTTTCTTCCCTTCCTACTTTCCTATTTTCATTTATCTTTTTTCTCGTCATTATTTAACGAGACACGTTGTAAAGGGTTCCAAACATTTCAAATTCTCAATATTGTTATAATATACATAATGATGGATATAAAATAACACATGATAACTTTTTATAATCAATTATTAAATATTTTCATAATTTAGTATTCAATTATTAATTGGCATTAGTAATTCAGAAGTTCATTACCGCAAATACCAAATCCCGCCATTGTTCCCATCCCTGAGCGCGATCTTCGTATCCTATTTTTTTCAGGTCTCTTCTAATATTATCCTCCCATCTACGTCTCGGTCTACCCAGTGGTCTTTTCCCGTTTGGTATACCGACCAATATTTTGTGCGTCGTTCGATCCTCCCCCATGCACCGCGTCACGTGACCAGCCTATCTTAATCGGCGTGATTTTACGACGTTGATAATGGCCGGTTTATTGTACAATCGATGTACTTCAACGTTATGGAGTTTTCTCCATTCGACCGTTTCCTCATCGCATTTTCCACCGAAGATTTTACGAACAACTTTGTTCTCGAAAAGCCTCAATTTCTTGTCGTCCCGTAACGTAAGAGACCACGATTCGCAACCATAAAGGACTACCGGCAGGATGATTGTCCTGTATATCCTGATTTTGAATCGCCTAGACAACAACCGCGAGATGAGTTAATTGGTTAAGCGAATAAAAACATGAATTGCTTAGATTGATTCTTTTCTCAAAGTTCTTCGTTAATTTCGTTCGTCTGGTTCAATGATCGATCCTAAATATACTTAAAGTTGCTGACCCACTCAAAAGTTTTATCCCGGACGACCAAAGTTCCAATACTAGGCGCCTATTCTGAACTCTATCATCGGTTACCATATATTTGGTTTTTTTCCCGTGCTTATTTACAGTCCCAAATCTTTAATATTATCTATTAATTAATGACTCTTCATTGTCCCCTAACAAAGCAATATCGTTCGCGTTTGTCAACAATTGTATTGTACCGTTCAACTGTAGACCATCTTTACTTTTCTGCAGTTCTTTGACAACGAATTCCATTACTAAATTGAACAAAAGAGGTAACAATGCGTCTTCTTGTTTTAACCCACTATGGATACTAAAATCTTTCGACATTTGGTTACCTAACCTCACTTTATCCCTAGTTTCCTTTAGACAAAGTTGAACAAGGTTGACCAATTTTCTTGGTATTAAGATTTCGAACATTTTATCTCGTTTTACCGAGTCGTACGTTTGTTGATTATTAATTTAATAAAATAGAAAAATTATAATATAAAATATCGATAAGATTGAAATAACAAAAATCTCCGAAAAATCCCATGCAACTTTGATAAATATATTTCGTATCACTTATAAATAATCTACCCTTCTATCTTTTTATGTTTATCTTGTTATCTTTTGCAGAAGATGAAAATGCAGTGGTACAAGGTGTGGTGACAACCGATGGATTATTCGATGGTACCATCGCAACCAAATTCGAAGAGTTTTATATCGAACCAACTTCGAGATACTTGGATAAGGACGAAGACACGTCTCCAACTTATCATAGCATCGCATATCGTACATCAGATGTTACCGTACCACCACATCCGTTACCATGTGCGAGTCATCAATTACACGAAGGCACTCTTCAGGACACCTTTGATAGGTCATCATTTATTTATTTATTTATTTCATTTTTTATTTAATTATCTTCTTATACATACGTTTGAATCACTTCATTCAATTTGATCTATTCAAATTTATTTTATTAACTTTTGAATATATTTTTTTTGATTTTTTGTTTATATTATTTTCAATAATTTTAACATAATATTATCTTTATTTTATTATTATATTTATATTATAAAAATAAAAGAGAAATTGTAGTGATTAAGTATACATATGGGTAGGATGAAAAGTACTGAGCCTAATAAACAATGATAGGTTGAAAAGTTTTAAGCTTAACACGATATGGATAACCATAAACAAACCTCTTACTAGTTTTGATCAAATCCTATAATTGTGTAAAATTTAATTATATTTATATTTATATTAAATTATAATGACAGATATATACATATGGGTAGGATGAAAAGTACTGAGCCTAGTAAACAATGATAGGTTGACAAGTTTTGAGCTGAACAAGATATGGATAACCATAAACAAACCTCTTACTAGTTTTGATCAAATCCTATAATTGTGTAGAATTTAATTCATATGACAAATATATACATATGGGTAGGATGAAAAGTACTGAGCCTAATAAATAATGATAGGTTGAAAAGTTTTGAGCTGAACAAGATATAGATATACCATAAACCTCTTATTGGTTCTGATCAAATTTGTTGTCATATTGTCAGCTTGTCCCTTTTCTTCTTTTATAAACGTAACGATGAAAGTTAAAAAGAAAAATAAATAAATAAATAAAAAATGTATTTGTTCTTTTACAGAGGGAAGATTAACAACAACGATACTTCAGAAGGATTTTACGAGCCCTTGTTGGATAATAAAATTGGTCTCTACTCGAAAGAAACTAATGGGAGAATATTGAATTTAGAAGCGAAAAGCGAAGCTCGTTATTACGACAGGTAAGAAATTAAAAAAAAAGAAAAAAAAAGTAATTTAAATAAAAAAGAATGAATAACAGAGAGAGAGAGAGAGAGAGAGAGAGAGAGAGAGAGAAAAGAAGAAGAAAAAAAAAAGTAAAAGTAATTACAAAATTGAAATAATACAATTTCTTTTTAAATTCGTATTATTTTGTTATCTTCTTCGATCTTGTAAGTTTTATCATCGAAAACACCCGAATTTTCTTTTTTTCTTTTTTTTTTTTCTTTTTTTTTGGTAATCCTTTATCTTTCGTATTATCACGGTGTTAAAAACGAACCAACCACACCACGTTTATCATGAAATGTGTGGGTGACTACGTTGTTTTAACGTGGGTTATCAGAGTAAACTCTTATCGGGTAAAGATGATAACTGGCTAATTCTTTTTCTCACACTATTCTTTATTTTCTTTTCTTTCTTTCTTTCTTTCTTTTTCTATTTCTTTTCATGTTTTTCTTGTTCCTTTAAATCCTCCATTTTCATCTCTTTTTTTCTTTTTTTTTTTTCTTTCTTATTCATTCATATACGTGTTGGTAATTATGACAGGATAAACCGATGCTACAAATTTGTTCAATTGATTTTATATCATGTTATTGTATAAATAAATAATTGTAATAAGAAAAAGAAAAACACAAATAATATTACAATTGAAGTATTTGAAATATAATATTAATAATTATTAACTTAAGTATTATTAAATAATACGATTATTATATTATCAAAGTTAGGTGATTGTAAAAAACAATCTATCTCGAAAATACGAAGAAACTTTTTCCCCAAACAAATACATTTATATATATACATATATATAACACAAATTTGAAAAAAAAATAATTTCATGTTATAATATAAATAATATTAATAATTATTAACTTAAATATTACCAAATAATACGATTATTATAATATCAAAGTTAGATGATTTTAAAAAACAATCTCTCTATCTCTATCTCGAAAAAACGAAGAAACTTTTTCCCCAAACAAATATAACACAAATTTAAAATAAAATAATTGTTATGTATAATCCTAATTAATTGATATAACAAATTATAAATATGTACATATCATAAAATCAATTTTAATAATAATAATAATAATATAATTAATATACGTGTGTGTGTGTATTACAGATCCAACAGTGGAGATCGAATAGCCAGACATTTACACAAACGTGCTACAGTAGATCCACGTAAAACAACGTGCATGCTTTACTTGCAAGCTGATCATCAATTTTTTGCTAGATATGGCACGGAGGAAGCTTGCATCGAAGTGATGACGAGGCATGTACAGAAGGTCAACTCAATATACAAACACACGGGTAAGTTGTTTTAACAGATCGTGCGAAAAATTCTTTTATCTCTTTTTCTTCTCTCTCTCTCTGTTTATATATATATGTATGTGTCGTGTATGTGTGTTCTATTTGAAAATTTGATATTTTTAATCTGAAACATAAACGAGCACACTAGTCATATATTATATATAGTATGTCCTAAAATTATCTTTACAACTCTCTCTCTTTATTCATTAATATTATAATAATAATAATAATGAAATTAATTAAATGAATACACATACACACATATGTACATATATGGAATTATTAAAATAAGGATTTGAAATATTTGTACTTTTCTATCAATTTTTCTTTTAGCAAAATAACAACGTTACAAACACATTCTGTAATCATAAGTGTGTATACTCGTACACCATTAGTGATTCACAAGATATACAATCGATACTTCGTATAACTACCATAACACGAAAAACAAACATATTTATTTTATTGATATAATTTATTATAAATTTTTATATATATATATAAACGAAAAAATTTTAAGTTCGATTTGATTTGATGTAATATTTTCATATTACAAGCTACGGATCGTCGCTAACGCGTCATTTACTTGCAATATTCGATCGAATTATAGGAATTCGATAAAATATCTCTCTGGTCCATCGTACTCAGTTTCCTCTTCCTCTTCCCTTTCCCCGCCCCCTCCCCCCACCCCTCTGTCCCCCTTTTTCCCCTTTTCCCTTCTCTATTATCGAGTAGAGTTCTCGTTGAAATTGTTTTCTGTCGAAAACTTCACATAGTATCGATCTACCATGAGAATTTGCACGGATAGAACCAGTTCGTTCGTTCGTTCGTTCGTTCGTTCGTTCGTTCACGCGTGCGCATTAAATTGATTTATAATAGGAATATTGTAAAGCGCGTAAATACAAGTTGAATACAAGTTGAATTCATTACATGTGTAAAACACTCATATATGTATATACATGTATATACATAAATGTAGAGAAAGTAATAACACAAAGGGGGATTCATTTCAAAAGTATTTTTCAACACTATTACACTTGGTACCTGTGTTTGAATATATATATATATATATAT